TGAATTTGCGGGCAGTGCAGTTTGGCGAAGGGCTGATGGCCTTGCACGCGAATAGTCGGATCTCGATCCCCGGGATTCGAAGGGCCTGGGGCAAAACGCCCGCGGGGTCTATCGCATCCCGAAGTTTGCAGGTTCGTCGTCCCGGTTTGCATTTCTTGTTGTATTCAACGTTCATGAAGGGTTCGTTGGATGATCCCCACAACTTCAGTGCTTCTTTCAGAGTGCTCTATTCCAATGAAGTTCATTATCAAAAGTATGATCACCCTGTTAATTTGAAGCTCTAGATAATGACTAATTGGTTCCAGGCCCCCGAAAATCTCAAATGAAAGGTGGAGTTGTATTGAATGGATTATGTGTTCCAGGTCTCTTGCAAATATACTTCATAAATTCTTGAATTAATTTAATAATTACTGTAATTAATAACAATAATTTTATAATTTAATGAAGAACACTCGTCCATGGCAAATAATTGCAATACAATTTTAAACTTCGTTTTTTCAACAACAGTACCGTAATTGGAGAATTACTGTATTCACTGAAGTACAACGCGCCCTCAAGTGTGACGCGCACTCGAGTTTATTGGCATGCAAATTGTCCAAGAATGTATCCCCGCATCAGACGCGCATCCCAGTTTTAAAATGTTGAGAATCGGATGCTTAAAAATTATAATTTAACAAGTCCCATAAATTAATAGTCTGAGAAAGTATTTCAGATAATTTTGAGCCAAACAGAATTCACTGTTCATTATTCGAGCGTACGAACTAATCAGTTACGCCTAGTACAGTACCACTAATTTCCTGATTTCCCCGCTTGTATGCCTTGATTTTTCAGGAAAAAAAAATGCCTATGGTACTTGAGTAAATATGGGTATCTAACTTCGCGCAGAACTGGGACAACCCTCGTGTCTTCTGAACGCGAAAATTCGTGACACTGTGTTATTCCCTAGGCATCTCCTTGGAATACCCCTCGAGCCCTGAGTCCCGTGGATAACCGACACCGAGCCCCAGCGTACCAGTCAGTGGAGAACCTGTCCAGTTCCTTCCTGAATGCACGCGTTTGGGGCATGCCGCGTCGTGGAACGTTGCAAGGCAGGCCGAATTCCAACGGGGACCAAGTGTCGGAAAATGACTCTGACGTGGAATCACAGCCGACGACGGAGACTGACGAACCCGACGCAATGCCGGACTTTTCCACGACGGGAAACGGCATTCTGACGCCCGGGGAAGCGAAGGCGCTCACTGTCATGTTGAGAAACAGGGACACGGCGTTGGTGCAGCGATCCTTGGTGACGATATCGAATTGCGCGGCGTATACGGTCAACCAGGTGAGGAATTTTATATATATATTTTTTGTAAGACTCCCTTCAATTTTTAATGAATATTTTCAGAGCCCTTCAATGTTCAACTATGAGCAGCCTTTAAAAAAAATTTGAAGTGTATGTTTCCGTTTTTCCAGGCCGTGACTCGATTGAATGTCTTGAAAGACTTTATTGAAAAATGTTGGAGATATTCGAAATGTATGATCTTTTTTTTTTTTTAGGATCTCTTGCGAGAAGCGGGTTGTTTGTCGCAGCTTCATCAACTACTGATGCATCGCAACGGAACAGTGCGTGTGCGCGCAACTCAATGTTTGGGAAACCTTTCACTGAATGAGGAGAACATGAAGGAGATGAGAGTGAGTTTCCTCGATTTTTTTTTTTTTTTTTTTGCTGCGTCATATCCTGCATTTTGACATTTTTTTTATCTGTGAAAGGATGTGATACCTTTGTTGTGGAGTCAATTGCCAGCTCCTGGCCGCGATGAAAACCATGATTCCGAGTTGACTGTGTCGACGCTGCTGTCGCTGACAAACATGGCAGTGTTGCCGACGTGGCACATGGAATTCATTCCGGGTCTTGGAACGGTTTACAAGTACGTGGACCGGTCTGCTCGTACTTTCCAGCTCCAGGCCCTTAAGCTGCTTACTAATCTCTATTGCAACGAGGACATGATCCCGTCCCTGCTCGGTGCTGAGGTAAGCGCATTTTTGCCCCCCTTTTCCTTTTTTTTTTTTTTTTTTTTTTCAAACTTTTCTATACAATACATTACTTTGAATTTTTCGAAGAACGAATGCCGCGAGTTGCAGCTGCAATGATCTTACTACCCTCTTTTGCCCCCCCCTTTTCCTTTTTTTTTTTTTTTTCTTTGCGAGACTTGGTTATTTTTCCTGTTTGTTCATTGTGTTTTCTGCGTTTATTCAGCTTTCGATTTGCTGAGCGGATTAAACCTATTTGTTTCGGCGAACGAGACCGGGTTTTTGTTTCTGAGTAGTAAGAAATGCTGGAGTTCAGGGCGTAGAACAAACCGCTTTCCGTCGCTGGCGTTTGAGTACGAATACGAAGCTATAAATTATCGATATAATTCTATTTATTGCAGCTTTTTATTTATTTCAGCTTTTTATGAGGGGCCTGTTCATAATTGACGTTTGAGACACGAAATGTATCAGTTGAGGAAAAAAATACTTATAAGTGGAAAGATGAGTACAGTGCTGTATTCTAATTCTTAAAGTAACTTTCGTTAATCTTCTCTTTCGTTCGTGAAAATGCTGAAATTACGCTTGTAAAGTTAGTGCGAAAAGTTGAGAAATTCGATTCGGCTAGTTTTTCTGCTTGTTCCGTTTCAATATCTAGTACTGTACAATAGTTTAAAGTGGTTAGATGTCATTTTAAGTCTTGTCTGCGATTCGATTTTATTTGTCTTTCCAGTTGATCGAGTCGCGGGTGTGATTTGTGTAAAATGCTGTAACTGAAATCAAATTTTCCTTCAATTTATTTTTAAATCTTGAAAATCCACGAAAATACCTCAATGAAGTATTCACTGCAGTATTTTCATATACCACTCAGAATTTTGAGAATAGTTGAAAATTACAACGTTTTGCCGCAAGTTTCTAAAGCACTACTTACGTCTTGCCATAACGAGATCTCATCATTTTCTAAGTCTTGAAATAAGATGTTCTGGTTAGATTATTTGATGCGGAGGTTGCGAAGCGAAAAATAATTACGAATCGAAAATAACGCACATGTCGTGATATGCCTTATAAAATTTAGAGCTGAAAGTCATTTATAAATCCAAAATTGTGATTCAGGCTAGGTTTTTTTTTGAAGTGAGTCATGGGCCAAAACTTCAAGCAGGGTAGCTGCAACTACCTACTCGCAGAATTGCAGAACTTCTATTGCAGTATTGAAAAATATTTGGAAAATAAGTGTTCACAAAGAAATTTCGAGGCTGATCGATTTTTGTGTTTTTATTTTTTGAAGGGTTGTCAAAGACTGGTGCCGATGCTTGACAACTCAACTGACTCTGACGTTTTGCTGCGCCTCATCACATTCGTGGCGAACCTTTGCTCTGCTGTGAAGCGACTCCGCGTCACACCTGCCGACATCCCGCCAATGGATAAAGTCGCATCCCCCGAAACCATGTATGCGCGTATTTACGGAGTCGCTGTATTCGACAGATTGCAAGACAAGGTTCGGGTTGTGAGTCGGTTCAACGCCTGCGAGGAAATCCGCTTTCACGCCAACAGGATCATTGACGCGTTCCGGGAAGAAGGAGAAAAATGAAGGCGTCGCATTTTCTTTGTTGTTGGAGTCGAATGCAGGCGATTCGAGGGTCATTTCCACACGCTAGTCTCTCTATCTTTCTCGAGGTAGACGATTGTTAGGAAAATGTTTCTGCGTCATTTCGTGTGACGAATTTTTTCGGATTTGTTATGCGAGAATGGGTGGCATTGAATCATCGCGTTGGAAGTGCATCATCTCAAGAGTGTCCACTACAGGGGTATTCAAGCTCTGCTAGAGTTATTAAAACTGGGAATATTTCGAAGGAGTTATAGAAGTATAAAATAAATTGTTTTTGACAATTTTTGGGAGCCAGTAATCGATATTCTGCACTCCGGGAAAATTTGATTTTTTTATGGAGGAACATTCAGTATGACTCATTTATTAACAAACGACGGATGGACAAAAACAGTTTTTCTCTGGACGCCATCGTTTTCAAAGCGCATATCTCTTTATTTGGATGAACATTAATCTTGATTTAATCGATATTCTGCACTCCGGGGAAGAAAGTGGCATCTTTCTCCTTTTTTTTCGTGCAAACTTCACTATGACTCATTTACTGTATTAACAGACAACAGAGGAGCAAAAATCGTTTTTCTCAGGATGCCATCATTTTTCATGCTCTTATCTCTTTATTTGGATGAGAAATAATCTTTTGTCTTGAGGGTGTCCCTAATTTATTTCCTGTTTTTAAATCTCCAGCCAGATTCCTTCTTCCATTGGATGAATCATTTCCTCCATCTTCTTTCCTGCGCAGATTACGCAGCCAAGATTTTGTTGTTGTTCGTTCGCGTCGTTGCATTTTGCATTAACGCGAACATAATATTTTTATGCTCAAAACTGTTGGAAATATTTCCGATTTTGCAAATTTGGCAGAGCTGGAATCACCCTGTACTTTGAGGGAGATCCTTTCCAGTGTGTGGTTAGGGTTTGATTGAAAAACAGTCGCGAAAACCCGTAGTTCAAAGAATACTTTGTAGTGCGCATTTATCTGTTGAGTTTCTTTTCTATCTACGTTTTAGTTTCCCTCGGAATGAATTTTTTGAGCGCAGCGTTTTTGCGTCATTTTACAGCTTATGAATCGCTGAGCATGGAGTTTTCGGTTTCATTCTTTCGTCATAGTTTTTGGCGAAGCTGAAGGTGCTGATACTTCGTGGATGATTTATTAAGAAAGAATAATTGTGTAATGCCTTCGATTTTATCGACTTCGCCTGTAATTGTTGAGCTTGATGCCTTTTTGTGTTCTATTCGATAATCTGCGGAGATTTCATTCTGACCAGGACATTATTTTCTTAGTCACTTCGAACATGTTTAAATTCTGGAGCTGATTATTTTCCGTGAAAAAAAATATATCTGGTAGCTATTTCTTTGAATTTTCCGTGCGAATTCTGCGAAATTGTTGAAAATGTCTGCGACGATTTGTGACGTCTGTTAGGTATGATTTGACGCCAGAAATGTGTTGCTCTCTTTTTTGAGCAGTCCTAAGCATCAACTCCTGCCTCAAACAGCCAACATTCCCAGAAAGATTTCATGTCTGGTCATTTTAAATGTGCCATCATTCTCTCAGTTTGGAGTCCAAGTGCCACTGATGAAATATTCCAGGGTAAATTCGTGTTCTGTTTTTCTCTTCCACGCAACAGCTAGACCTCACTTTTTGTTTTTTTTTTGTTTTCATTATATGCTGAACTGTTGAATTTAGTTGAGAAATACACGCTGTTGTCCAGTGTGCAGTGATGTGTCATGAAGCAGATCTCGACATTAACGGTCTGATCTTCAACGAAAGAAACACTTTCAAAATCGGCAGTCGTTGTAGGAACTTGAGGAGAGATTGCAGTTTTGCGATAAAAAAAAACCAAGGTGCAATCTTGAAAAAAAAAAAGAACCTGGTGTCATGCATAAACGGTTGGATGAAATTGTTACCCGTCGCGTTGATGACGAGCTTGCTGGTGCAATGTTGCAAGAAGAAAAAAACTAAGGGTTCTTCGTTTGAATATATTCGTTTTGGAAGATACTCATCGTATCTGGGACTACGAAAATTTTCGCCAATTTGGAAACTAATTAATATTTTTTTCGCTGCAGGAATGTGATTTACTCCGGGCAGTGGTGTATCTAAGCTTTTTGATCTCGTGTAAAATCGCGTGATATTACAGGAATGGTGAGTCCAAAAAGCTGTAATTTTGAGGCTCGTTGGTTGGAAAATAAACGTAGTAATTTTTAGTTGGCCAAATTATATTCATTATCTTTTTATGTAAAATTAATAGTTTACGCTTTTATTTTTAATTGCATGNAATTGCAGAACTTCTATTGCAGTATTGAAAAATATTTGGAAAATAAGTGTTCACAAAGAAATTTCGAGGCTGATCGATTTTTGTGTTTTTGTTTTTTGAAGGGTTGTCAAAGACTGGTGCCGATGCTTGACAACTCAACTGACTCTGACGTTTTGCTGCGCCTCATCACATTCGTGGCGAACCTTTGCTCTGCTGTGAAGCGACTCCGCGTCACACCTGCTGACATCCCGCCAATGGATAAAGTCGCATCCCCCGAAACCATGTATGCGCGTATTTACGGAGTCGCTGTATTCGACAGATTGCAAGACAAGGTTCGGGTTGTGAGTCGGTTCAACGCCTGCGAGGAAATCCGCTTTCACGCCAACAGGATCATTGACGCGTTCCGGGAAGAAGGAGAAAAATGAAGGCGTCGCATTTTCTTTGTTGTTGGAGTCGAATGCAGGCGATTCGAGGGTCATTTCCACACGCTAGTCTCTCTATCTTTCTCGAGGTAGACGATTGTTAGGAAAATGTTTCTGCGTCATTTCGTGTGACGAATTTTTTCGGATTTGTTATGCGAGAATGGGTGGCATTGAATCATCGCGTTGGAAGTTCATCAATTCAAGAGTGTCCACTACAGGGGTATTCAAGCTCTGCTAGACTTGAGAAAACAGGGAATATTTCGAAGGAGTTATAAAGGTATAAAATAAATTGTTTTGACAATTTTTGGGAGCCAGTAATCGATATTCTTCACTCCGGGAAAATTTGATTTTTTTGTTGGAGGAAAATTCAGTATGACTCATTTATTAACAGACGACGGAGAGACAAAAAGTTTTTCTCTGGACGCCATAATTTTCAATGCTCATATCTCTTTATTTGGATGAACATTAATCTTGAATTAATCGATATTCTGCACTCCGGGGAAGGAAGTGGTATCTTTCTTCTTTTTTTTTCGTGCAAACTTCACTGTGACTCATTTACTGTATTAACAGACAACGGAGGAGCAAAAAGTTTTTTTCTCAGGATGCCATCATTTTTCATGCTCTTATCTCTTTATTTGGATGAGCACTAATATTTTGTCTTGAGGGTGGTGTCACTAATTTATTTCCTGTTTTTGAATCCCCTGCCAGATTCCTTCTCCCATTGGACGAATCATTTCCCCGATCTTCTTTCCTGCGCAGATTACTCGCAGCCAAGATTTTGTTGTTGCTCGTTCGCGTCGTTGCATTTTGCATTAACGCGAACATAATATTTGTATGCTCAAAACTGTTGGAAATATTTCCGATTTTGCAAATTTGGCAGAGCTGGAATCACCCTGTACTTTAGGGAAGATCCTTTCCAGTGTGTGGTTAGGGTTTGATTGAAAAACAGTCGCGAAAAACTGTAGTTCAAAGAATACTTTGTAGTTGCGGATTTATTTGTTGAGCTTCTTTTCTATCTACGTTTTAGTTTCCCTCGGAATGAATTTTTTGAGCGCAGCATTTTTTCGTCATTTTACAGCTTATGAATCGCTGAGCATAGAGTTTTCGGTTTCATTCTTTCGTCATAGTTTTTGGCGAAGCTGAAGTTGCTGATACTTCGTGGATGATTTATTAAGAAAGAATAATTGTGTAATGCCTTCGATTTTATCGACTTCGTCTGTAATTGTTGAGCTTGATGCCTTTTTGTGTTCTATTCGATAATCTGCGGAGATTTCATTCTGACCAGCACATTATTTTCTTAGTCACTTCGAACATGTTTAAAAATCTGGAGCTGATTATTTTCCGTGAAAAAATATCTGGTAGCTATTTCTTTGAATTTTCCGTGCGAATCCTGCGAAATTGTTGAAAATGTTCTGCGACGATTTGTGACGTCTGTTAAGTATGATTTGACGCCAGAAATTTGTTGCTCTCTTTTTTGAGCAGTCCCAAGCATCAACTCTTGCCTCAAACAGCCAACATTCCCAGAAAGAATTCATGTCTGGTCATTTTAAATGTGCCATCATTCTCTCAGTTTGGAGTCCAAGTGCCACTGATGAAATATTCCAGGGTAAATTCGTGTTCTGTTTTTCTCTTCCACGCAACAGCTAAACCTCACTTTTTGTTTTTTTCATTATATGCTGAACTGTTGAATTTAGTTGAGAAATACACGCTGTTGTCCAGTGTGCAGTGATGTGTCATGAAGCAGATCTCGGCATTAACGGTCTGATCTTCAACGAAAGAAACACTTTCAAAATCGGCAGTCGTTGTAGGAACTTGAGGAGAGATTGCAGTTTTGCGATAAAAAAAAACCAAGGTGCAATCTTGAAAAAAAAAAGAACCTGGTGTCATGCATAAACGGTTGGATGAAATTGTTACCCGTCGCGTTGATGACGAGCTTGCTGGTGCAATGTTGCAAGAAGAAAAAAACTAAGGGTTCTTCGTTTGAATATATTAAAAAAAAAAGAACCTGGTGTCATGCATAAACGGTTGGATGAAATTGTTACCCGTCGCGTTGATGACGAGCTTGCTGGTGCAATGTTGCAAGAAGAAAAAAACTAAGGGTTCTTCGTTTGAATATATTCGTTTTGGAAGATACTCATCGTATCTGGGACTACGAAAATTTTCGCCAATTTGGAAACTAATTAATATTTTTTTCGCTGCAGGAATGTGATTTACTCCGGGCAGTGGTGTATCTAAGCTTTTTGATCTCGTGTAAAATCGCGTGATATTACAGGAATGGTGAGTCCAAAAAGCTGTAATTTTGAGGCTCGTTGGTTGGAAAATAAACGTAGTAATTTTTAGTTGGCCAAATTATATTCATTATCTTTTTATGTAAAATTAATAGTTTACGCTTTTATTTTTAATTGCATGAAGTTGATGAGATTAATTTTCACTTCGAGTGAAGTGCGAAAAAAATGTTGATCAATGTTTTAACATTTTCTTTATTTTACAGGCGCAAAATGTGAAGGTCTGTGAGATCGATGCGGGGTTGAAGGAGAAATTGCGGAAATTTCGATTTCGTAAGGATGAGTCGAATGCGGCGATCATCAGTAAGATTTTATTGATCCCATAAGAGTTTCTTTCCAGATTAGCTCGAAATTTATTAGTCCTTGAAATTCTGAGAAAATTAGGTGAAATGCGATTCACCGTTCTTTTTTTATCGTGTTGATGTTCCGTTTTAATTTTAGTGAAAGTGGACCGAGAGAAGCAGATGATTTGCCTCGATGAAGTTCTTGAAGTGAGTTTTCTTGACCTGTTGCAATCGTGAATTTCTAAAGAAAATCGTTGGTTTGTATTATTTCTCAAGGACTGTTCTGTGGACGAATTGAGGGAATCCATTCCTGATCATCAACCACGGTTTATTGTCATGTCTTACAAAATGGAACACGACGATGGACGTGTTTCTTTTCCGCTTTGCTTCATCTTCTCCACTCCGAGAGGTGATTACTGAATTTTTGCTAAAATACTTGGTTCCTGAAAATAATCAGGATTGCGTGAGGTGTTGTTTTTGCGGGTATGGATTCTGATTTCTCGAGTGAAATTTTTTAATTTGATCGCAGACTGCAAACCGGAATTGCAAATGATGTACGCCGGCAGCAAGCTGTCGCTGGAGACCGAAGTTGAGCTCACGAAAACTTTCGAAGTTCGTGAACTGGAAGAACTCACCGAAGATTGGTTGAAATCAAAACTATCCAAATGACTTTGTTTCCCACATTTTCGTGGCTTAATTTTTTGTTATTTTACTAATCAATATTTTGGCTTCCCTTTGTGTGAGGGGGTTTTTTTTAATGGTATTGTGCACGCATATTTATTCAGCTTCCCTTCTTTCAAACATGCCAAAGCTTGTGTTTTTACACCGAGTATTCGGTTCTGTTTTGCTCAATTGAATTGGCGGAATATTTCGCGAATTTGCTCGGAAAAAATCAGGGAAGGCTTTTTAAAGTCTCCCACCAGTGGTTTATCCAGCGACGGGCATGAGATTGTAAGCTTGTAAAAAAAAGATGCCAAATCCTCCCAATTTCTTTGGAGTGAATGAAATTTCCGTTTTTCGCTCAGAGTTATGGTCTTGAGTCGCTTGGTATTCAGCTGGGCTGTAAATACCTGAATAGAGGCGCAGCTGAGGATGTATTTTTCCGAAAAAGGACGACGTGCTCTTTTCGTGGACATTTGCGAAATAATCAAACGGGGAAGCTTTTTTTCACTTGGTTTTATTTATGTCAATTTTGGGATTCGTTTTTCTGGCCAACTCGCCGAGTGTTGATTTCGTTTCTACGATTTTTACAGACGATGAGAACGGAGTAGAAATCGAGAGCAGGGTTTGAGTGCGTTTTTTTGTTGAGTGAAGTGAGAAAAAATGGTGTTTTCGTTGCCCGCGTTTTCATACATGATCGCGTTGATTGTCGACGCGTTCCTGATATTCTTTGCAATATTTCACGTGAGTACGAGTTTTTTTTTTCAAAATTTTACAACGTGATTTCGGCGTGACTTCATTTAAGCAAAATTTTTCTTAGAAAATGATGAGATCTCGTGGCCTTTTCTTTTTCTAGATTCAGGAAAAAATGCGTCGCGTAGCGAACAGGTAGAATTAGCATTGATTTGAAAAACTTTCAATGTTGATCGAGGAAAAGCATTCTAAAAATTGGCCATGCATCATTGTTTCGTTGAGTATCCTCCCATTCGGGCTGGGATTTTTCCCTCAATTATTTAACCAGCTCGCAACAGTTACAAAATGTAAGTTTTGTTAGGGAACCAGTTTTATGTATTTTTTCCCGAATTTAGTCGTAAAAAAATTTCTACAGTATCAGGAATCCGTATAAAATTTAAAACCAACATCTTCATCATTTATTAATTATTTATATACAACCGGGTATAATGTGATGCCATCATTTTCATAAATGAAGAGCCAATTGCTGAAAATGGGTAGTTACGATTCATGCATTGAAAAAAATTGAAAGTTTTCGAGTATTCAAAAGCTTGCGAAATTCCGCATCAAGTGACTCGATTTTTGCGTTCGTCTCTCCTCAGATAATTGCGTTTGATGAACTCAAGACGGATTACAAGAATCCAATTGATCAGTGCAACAGTTTGAACCCGGTAAGCAGTTTTACAGTGTCATTGAACGTTTTTTTTTGAATTGACGATGTTCTTTTCAATAGCTGGTGTTGCCGGAATACTTGATGCATATGGCGTTCAATTTGTTATTGCTAATTTCCGGTGAATGGGTGACAGTTCTGATCAATGCTCCGCTGATCGCATACCATGTTTTGAGGTAAGTTTTTTTTGTGTGTGATCATTTTTGGATGGAATTTCAGGCGCATTCCTGGATACAGATGCGAAAGAAAAACCCCGTTTTGATGTTTGTAAAAAAGTCCTTTTTAGACGGGCCTCAATTTTAAGGTATTTGAATACGAAATTCCATGCATACGTAATGAACACAATTTTCAGTCATCGATTAATGATGCATTTATTCTTGTCGTTTTGCCCAAGGTTTCCTTTGTATCATGTGGGGAAAATATCTAACAATTCGAACTACCCGTAAAAAAATTATTTTTCACATGGTAAATTTTTTTCGAAAATGCTGGAAAACTAGCCGTGAAGAAACACGAAGTATTGAAAGAAAATGCGAAGTGTATGCAATATTTAGTTGGACTCTCTGCGACGATCTTGTGTACGACGAATTTCTCGGTATAACGAATTTTTTCTCCGCAACGATTTTTTTCCGAATCCCGCTAGTTTTGTTGTGGAGAGAGTGCACCTGTGATAAGCTCATCTTCAGTTTAATTTCCCGACTTTGTGAAGCTTGGTGATTTTTTCTTTCGTTGAAAAAAGGCATAAAATGAAGTTCGTGCATATGTATGATGAATTCAATCATTGCATCTGGTTAGCAATTTAAAATTCGTACTGTTGATACAACATGTTTTTTTTTATAGCTTTTTAGTTGGAAGTTGCTGTACTATGTATGCCGATATCATTTCGCTTTTTGCTTCCTTGAGGAAGTTCGAAATGTTTCGCAATGTAAACTTTGATTTGATTTACATTTCAATTTCCGAGCAGCGAATGGATTTCTTTCTATAAACTTTTTTGGAAGAAAATATGCAGTAATTTTGGAAATGCGGTAATGTATACCTCACTGCTGTGTTCTTGGTTCATGAATTTTAGTTTTAATGCATTTGAGTCATTTGGTTTTTATTTGTTTACCCTTTTCTTGAGCAAATTTTGTTATTTTCATGAACAGATACAAGAATCGTCCGATGATGAGTTCCCCGGGTCTTTACGACCCAACCAGCATCATGAACGCTGACACATTATCCAAGTGCCAACGAGAAGGATGGATCAAACTAGGGTTTTACGTGTTCAGCTTTTTCTTCTACCTCTACGGGTGAGTACATGGTGGTACTGACGCATACGAGGGTTGCACCAGTTGCACGCGGCCTCTGATTTGTATAGAGTAAGTGTGATTTAAGAAAAATTCAGGTTCTTCCAGATTTTTCGAACAAATTTTCAATGAGTGAAAACTTTCCAGTTACAGCTGGAGTTCTCCACCCATGTAGCAGAGGTCTCAACATTTGTCAGGCCATTTTTCCGAACAAATTTGTTTGAGCCATTATCATTCGTACATTTTAGATAATGGTTAAAATAACGCGACATCGCAAAATTTTAGATGACCTGACAAAGTTTTGCAATCCGTGACTCCTTGAAGCTGTAACTGGAGAGTTTTCACTGATCATCGTACAGTGAATTGAAGAAATCTTCCAAAAATCCGAAAAGAAATCCCACAACCTTGGAATACATCATGGGTTATGTCATGGATTTTTTTTTTCACAATCACGCCTACTCTAAGAATATCAGAGACCGCGTCCAGCTGGGACAACCCTCGTATAATCGAAAGTTTTCAAATGTTGCTTTTCATTCATCGCAGGATGATTTACTCATTGATCTCCTCATGACCGGGAGCAAACGGTTCTTTGGCTGCGTTTGTCCCTGTTTCCAAGCCGTGATGAAAAAGCGATCAAGTAGCACCGTCTCGTCTGGTTGAAAAAAAAGAGAAGAAAAAAGGGATGGCCTTTTTTCCCCGTGTTTTTATTTTTGTTCGCCGCGTTGTGAGCTCAATTGTCAAGAAGTTGGATTAACTTCGTCGTTTGAGTTGTCCTATTGGTTCTTGTCAACATGATGGGTATTCCGCGACTTTCATGGTAATCACAGTTTTTTTGATTCACGAATGCCTTTTAGTATCGACGGTCGCTTATAAACGTTCTCTGTTGAGCCCAATTTTGCGCAGTGATTTCTTTCTTCTGTAAGTGCAGTAATGGAAAACGGGTTAGGTAATATTTCAGGGTCAGTATAATTTCTTGTCAACTTCCTTTCCGTAATCCTCCACATGGCATCCTGAACATCGCAAGTTCCTCTTCAAACACACCCAACAATCAATCAATCAATCAGTTCTGCCACTCTGTCACAAGATGCTTCCTCAGTTTTGATGTCCTCTGATTCACTATCAGTCATTTGGCAACAGAGAAGACCTACTTGTATTGTCTTTGTATATTTCAAACATGAACAAGAAATCATGTACTGTATTGTGGACAAAACTTGAGTTGTTATCACTTCCATGCATTTTCTGCAGACCTTGCTGCATAAATTTTGTGTTGAAACATAACCATGCTTCAATAAAAAGGACAAGAAATTGGACCATTTCTCCAAAATTCCAATTTCCAGTTAATCTTTGGCCAGTTTCCTCTAGTCGAACGCAATTCAAACCTCCCCAACTCTGCTGTTTGGGTCAAAACCTCCTTTTGTCAAAATGTGAAGACCTTTTTATTTTCAATTTAAGGTTAGAATTTCAGAAAGCCTGTTCCAGAAAAAAAAAACAATTTGCAAATTTTTCTTTGCGCACTATAGAATGCATTTGGCATATTTCTGCAGGTGCAACATCTATGAATAATGAAGAGTTCTCATACAGGCTTTTCTTCTGAAGACCTTCCTTTTTCTTCCTTCAAATTCTTAAGAGCAAATGTAGCTACAATAGATTCTGTTTTTGAATTGAAATGCTGCAAAATGTAAAGTTTGCCAAAGAGGAGAATACCTAAGAGTACTTGTCAATTTAGTCATTATTATCTGTTTTCAGAGATTTGGAGGGCATAATTAAGGCAGATGTAGAAAATGTATCTTGGCTGTAATTAAAATTAAATCTGCTTAGATATAGATAATGAGGAGGTAATTGGAATTATCCTGTGACATTATCCCTATAAAATAATTTTGCAAGATGCAAAAGTTTGACTTTTCTGAGATACTATTGGTGCACTGTATAGACTAACCAATATAATGCATTGCTCACTGATATCCAGATGACTCTGAATTCAGATTCTACTGTCAGACTCAAGATCACGGAGTTGCCAAATGAGATGATCGCAAATCTCGGTATCTCGACTGGGAGGAAGCATCTTGCTGAACGTCACTTCCCTGAATAGACCTCTATCTCCACTGAATAATGTAAACTGCTGAGCACAAACGTTTCCAAAACGAAAAAAAAAATAAAATGTCTATCGTATGGCTCGTGAGTTCTCAGATTAAAATCGCACCTTAGAAGCTCTGTTTAGCTCCATTAAGCCACCTTGTCTTGAAAGCATACCGGAGCAGACCCTGGCAGGTGAACAAACAAATCAAACACGATCACTGATGACATCACATATTTGTCAAGCTTCTCATTGGTGTGGTTGGCATGCTGGCGGGTTTCGGCGGACAATGCACCTTTGTTATTACGATTTCACCTGCAAAAAATAAAATAAATCGGACATTAATTTTGACCACATGTCCAGTATTCAAAAATTAGATTTTAAAATCAAGTTGTCTCTTGAATTTTCTGTCCTCCGAGATTCATTGGTGAAGCAATGCATGATTTCCTTCAACTAGACTAGAGCAATCATGAGGTACAGTACAGTACAGCCAACCTGCACACAACAGACTCAATGTGTGCAAAATACTAGTCTGTTGTGTGAAGTCTGTTATGCAAATTCAATTATTAAAAAATTAAAATGTTTACCATTAATTTTAAACCAACAGAAGTCTGTTTTGTGGATTTAGTTCATTGTAAGAAAGAGAAAACCACCTCCTGAGGTGGTCAGTTGTGCAGGAGGTCTGTATTGTGTGGGGGTTGATTGTGTAGTTGTAAATTAAATAAAATAAATGTTCCCTTCTAAGATAAACTCTGTAAAATCTTAATTTATCGGAAGGTTGGATTCAGTACTTTGGAGTCATATTGTTGCAACAAGTTCTTGATTGCTGCAAGGGTTTTTCAAATCCCTGCAGTATAGCTGGAATGTTTTTAAGACTCATTGCAACTAATTTTTCAAAACAGTTCAGTCTATGTTTTCTTAATTTGTTGAAGAAAATCAATGATCCAAAACTAAAGTTCAGCAAGATGTGAGAAAGATGATAGAGGTAGACTCTCTGCAACAATTTTCTCTGTATAGGAAATTTCTGTTTGGTTCCTTGATTAGGGTTCTGCATTGTTTACAACAGATACTTCTCTGGTCCCATGAATTTTGTTGTTTGAGAGAGCCCACCTGTTTTCTAAACAACAACATTTAAAATTTGCAAATCATGTGACACATTTTCAGTACTCTATGAAATGAGCAGAAAACTTGGGCCTTGAGGGACAATTTTCACTTCTCCCATGTAGTGTCTTCAAAAAATGTCATTGAAATCTGAGAGGATAACATCCAACAAACAAATTTGATTTGGGGAAATACCAATTTTTTGTTGGGAGAAAGATAGAAAAATGGCAGGAAACTGTAAATGATGGTGATACGGTATTCTGGACCTTAACTTGCTTCTTAAAAATGAGTTGACAGGATGCTGAATTTGGAGGCAAGCATTCATTTGCCCAATTAGTCTTTCACTTCTTTTCAAAGCACATCAAGTTTCTTTGTTATTGCTTTTCTCTTTCCCTAGTCATTAAAATAGTAGCCAAAATGCCTCAGAAAATTCGAGCAAGGGAGGTTCTAGAAGAGAGACATTCGAGTTAGAGAAGATTTGCTTCCAAAGGGAATTCAGACGGGGGCTTGGACTTCATAAAATTCGACTTGGGGAGGCTTGAGTTATTGAGGTTCAATAATTGTTAGTAAGCTGACCTGTAGACAAAGTCTGGGCTTCAGCACTTTTGAAAACGCGCCCACCCAGAGACGCTGGATCAGTTTGCGACACTGCGTCGCATCGGTAACCCGTCCAATTCACCGGGGACAAAAACGGCTGCTGGCTGACTTCGGAAACACTGCTGATGGTCCTTTTCGGCTGCTTAGTCACCGTCATGCCGTTCATGCCCATGCCGCAGGCGGTAGTGTTGCAAGTGATCCCGCTCGAGTTGGCGGAAATGGCTTGCGCAAGGGCCGCTTCGATCCGCTCCATCTTGAGCACGCTGTCCAAGGAAGAGTCGGACAGGATCCGGTCCACGGCTTGCATGGACATGGACAGGGAGGACGAGGAGGACTTGACTGGTGAAGGAGCGCCACCTGGTTGAGAGACCAAACAGTTGGAGTTTCACTGCTCTAGCAATTCGGAGCAGAGATGGAGGCACATGTAGCAAAAGGATATGCCAACAAGAAAAATTTTCTCTTTAATAACTAATAATTATGCATGGTCGACCTGAAGATTTTTTTTTCTCGTCGACTATATGAAGTTCAAAAGAATTTTTACCGAAAATTTTGTTACGTGGCGGGTTCGTTAACCAAGGGTCCACTGTACTGAAAGAAAAAGAAACATGGTTGAAGGCGCAGTGGGTTGCCAGCAACCTGCTGCCAGTGGAACCCGTTTGAGCAGGTAAAAAAAAGTATCTTTCTGTCCACGTGGCGCTCAGGAAACTCGCTCGGGTTCTTCCCCCATTCCCCCTCCACCCACGACGACATCTTCTTTACACATGTCGTCAAGTAATATTTAAAAATAGAAAAAAAGAGTAGCCAAAATCAAAAGTAAAATACCGTGTGAGACCCCGACATACGGAAAATTTGACTTGACACTTGAAGCTCACAAAATCTTCCCCAACATCTGAAAACTGTTTCCAGATAGGTAAACTTATCAAAAAATGAAAAAATGTATTTGACAACATTTTGACACCCCTTGAACAAATTAAGCTACTTATATTCACAAAAATGAAAAAAATATTCACAATAAATGTACTCCAATTCATTATCGAAAACAGGCTAATTTGTATTCTTTTTTGGAGTTTCTTTTCATTTTTGTACAATACAGCAAGACTTTTTCTTGTTCTTTACTTCTTTTTAATCTTCTTTTGATCCCAAGAGGTCATATTCTATATACAGGTGGTACCTTGCAATTTGATCCTAATCTGTTGCCTGACTAATGCAAATTGGTTGAATTGCAACACTTCCAAAAATTATAAATCAGCACAAAAATGCAAAAAAGTGGCCAAAGCAGGTCAAATTCTGGGGCAGATATCCAATTGCAAGTCAACCTCCATGCAAATTTGACCATCAAGGTACCACCTGTATTGTTTTCTTCTGTACAGTCATTTTCCATGCAATGAGACCCCAAGATGCTTGCATCTTAATTTTCCTTAAATTAGAACATCTGCAGGTTGGATCACAATTTCCTGTAGACTTCTATGAGAAATTATGTACAGTAATTGGTTCTCCAAGAATTTATCAAAAATTAGGAATAAATCCCCCAAAAGTTGAATAAAATGTGTTTCACAACTGGAAGATACAGAATATAGCTATGCAGAAGAAAATTACACAGAATGCAAACTTTCAGAATCAAAAGTACCTTAACAAGCAAAGAAAAAGTACAAGTTTTACTATACAGTGCACAGATGATGAAGAATGCTCTAAAAATAAACACAAAATGCATCTCTTTTTGATTATAAATTTGAATAAATTTATAATGAATCCCTTTTTAATTTGTGTTGATATAAATATCTGAATTTTTTCAAGAGATTCTAATACAGTAAAATCTCGTTACAACAAACTTTTGGGGAACACAGAAAAAGTTTGTTATAACGGATAATTTGTTGTAACGAGATTTTCAAAAAAATGACTGGAAAATTTTTTTTCAGCTCAGATCTGCATATATTCTGAATCAGGCTTGTCTTTCAGTTTAAGAACTCAAATGATTGTTTGAAAAAATCAGTGATTTTCTTCTGAACAAAATTATTATTCACTGCTGCTGGCAA